TTGTAGTCTAACAATGGTTTGTTAAAAAATAAACAATGGTTAAATTAATTTCTTGCAGTTACGTTCTATTTTAAAAAAATATGCAATGGAGCTCAGCATCACAGCAGAGCTAGATTACAGCTGCAGAAAGCTGTGCTTGTACGCCTGTGCGACTCCAGTTTCAGCTGACCACTACGAAGCTCTTCTGAAGTGGGGAGCAAAAAGAAATGGTCAGGAAGGAGAGTCTTGTGACGGAAGACTATTAAAGTTAAAGTTAGTTATGTTAACCACATCTTTGAATATATTTTTAATTTTTTTATATTTACCTATTTCTTTACTGAAAGAGTGGTTAAACATTGGAACAGGCTGCCCAGGGAAGTGGTTGAGTCACCATCCCTGGAAGTATTTAAAAGACGGGTAGATGCAGTGCTTAGGGACATGGTTTAGTGAGCATGGTGGTGTTGGGTTGACGGTTGGACTTGATGATCTTAGAGGTCTTTTCCAACCTTAATGATTCTATGATTCTACCTTCTCTAGTTTTTATGACCGTTTTTCCATGCAGGCAAGATGAGGAAACTCATTAAACCAACTGGCAGGTACAGTGAAATTGGTTAGGCATAAAGTCCCCTTAGTCATTCCAAAGACATTGTTTGTTGTTACTACAAGTTAAGTAAAACAGTTTCAGATAGCAGTAGGGCTTCAGGGTTGACTTCGACCTCTTTCAGTTATGCAAACTGATCGTATATAGTTCATCCAGTTATTGACAAACAGGCTATTTTGTCAACATTAATGAAAGAGAAGAAATTTATTAGATATAACATGATGATAGAAAGACAGCTAAGCTCTGGGGATGGCATGCGGGACTTAGCTCTCTCCTGACTCAAAAAGGGATGTTAACTAGGGACCTTCTTTCCCTTTGATATTATTTCTTTGACAGCAGTTCATTCTGAGCAAGCTGGACCCAATTCTGTAGGTCAGTTTTGAATGATAGTTGAACAGGTGAAGTTTCACGTATTACTTGATCTATAATAATGTTCTATTTTACTCTTAAGCACAGATGCCTCAGGATTCAGAGATCATGATAAAGCAGTTGGTTTTTTTCCAACTTACCTTGCTTTGAGGGAGGGAAGTCAGAAGAAAATCACCTTTTCCTTGTTATTAGAAAGCATGAGAAGCTGTAATTTCTCAATAGATAATCCCCTGGTAATGAAAAGTACAAGTATACTTGTTCGGGTGATGAGTGGTCCTGGAATCTCTGTCTGCTTTGGCTTCCACAGAACCATAAGGTGGTAAATAACTGTATTCTTAAACTCTCTACTCTTTCTAGGAATGTGTTTAGAGCAAATGGAGAAAAATAGAGTGATTTAAAAAAAAACTTTTAATTTGTTCACAGAATAGTTCTTGAGAAATACTTTTAAACTTTGTGATGGCCCAAAAGAGAAAGAAGGCCTGAGTCCACCTCGTAAATTCTTGCTATAGATATCACACAAACAAAAATGTATTATTTCTAGCCCAGACAATTAAAATTACAAGGGGTGGTACTTGTGAAGAAAAAACTGGGGGAGGAAAAACATAAATCAGATATTGTTTGACAAAGTCTTCGAATAAAAGGACTTGTGTCAACAAATCTGAACTACATTTACGGCCCTGTTAAAGATTATGCCAGTTCAACGGCCAAAGGTATCAATCTTAACCCACAACGAAGTTACTTATTAATCAAAATGCAAACCTGTACATGATAATACTTTATTACTTTCTCAATAGCTCGTCTGCAGCCAGCAACCTAAAAACCTCTTTCTGACATAGCAATGACTGAAACCATTAACTAACCTCTAATTTCTTTTTTCCCTTCAACTTAAAAAGGTAAATAAGATTAACAAAAGTAGCTATGGTTACAATCACAAACACAGTCAGATGAGGATATCTGGTAATGACCCATCAGTTCTGAAGTCAACCCATTCACACATTTTTAGCTATTGTCTCTGCTGAAATAGTCTACTTTACTGATTGTGCTCAACAAAATGTCATCAAACCACTACCACTAAAGATACTGCAAATACACAGTTATTCAGTGGAGGTAAATGCAATCAGCCAGGAACAGTCCCTTCCCAGAGGGTCTGCAAATGAGGACATTCTTCCACAGGTATAGAAATGACAATTTTCTGAAAATTGTACAAGACAAACAGTAAAGTCTGTTTGCTGCCCTAAAGCACTTTCTGTATTAGACTGGCAATTATGGGGCATTTGTGAAGCAGTGTGGCTAGGTAACACGACTGATTTATAAATAGGAGACTGCTACCTTCCTGAACAAAATTAGAGGCAACTACTATAAGCATCTATTATCAGTTAAAAAACACCCCACTCATCTAGTTCCACCAAAAAGCTACAGTGGCACTAAAAACGTTGTCTACAAACCCAGGAGCACAATGGAAAAATTACATAACCTACCCTACACCATATATAGTGGGCTTTTGCTTGACTACTATTTTTCTCTCGAAATTTGGCTTCCCTCTTTTTAGTCTAACACAGAACTGAAAGTCTGTAGCAGTAACAGCAGACTACTTGTGCTGGTTTTGGCTGGGGTAGAGTTAATTTTCTTCATAGTAGCTGGTATGGGGCTATGTTTTAGATTTGTGCTGGAAACAGTGTTGGTAACACAGGGATGTTTTTGTTATTGCTGAGCAGTGCTGACACAGAGTCAAGGCCTTTTCTGCTTCTCACACCACCCCACCAGAGAGGAGGCTGGGGGTGCACAAGAAGTTGGGAGGGGACACAGCTGGGACAGCTGACCCCAACTGACCAAAGGGATAGTCCACACCATGTGACGTCATGCTCAGCATATAAAGCTGAAGAAGAAGAAGGAAGGGGGGGTCGTTCAGAGTGATGGCGTTTGTCTTCCCAAGTAACCGTTACACGTGATGGAGCCCTGCTTTCGTGGAGATGGTTGAACACCTGCCTGCCCATGGGACACAGTGAATGAATTCCTTTGTTTTGCTTTGCTTGTGTGCGCGGCTTTTGCTTTACCTTTTAAACTGTCTTTATCTCAACCCACGAGTTTTCTCACTTTTACCCTCCTGATTCTCCCCCATCCCACCGCGGGGAGTGAGCGAGTGGCTGTGTGGTGCTGAGTTGCCAGCTGGGGTTAAACCTCGACAGTCCTTTTTGGTGCCCAGCATGGGAAGAAGAAGCAGAAAAGGCCTTGACATAGCCCCATACTAGCTACTGTGAAGAAAATTAACTCTATTCCGGGCAAAACCAGCACACTACCTAAAGATAAATCACTGTTATTTTCTAGTTTCAATTAAAAATGCTGAAATAAAGTTTTTTAAAAGTGAGAACTGACAGGACACAATATCACGATCTACTGCCATTATTGGAATGTCTGTCACCTTATGCACATATTTATAGGATAGGCAGACTGAATAAACATACATATTAGAGGAGACAGACAAGTATACACATTTCAATAAACTGGCAAAAAGACCTGCCATGATCCCATGACCCAAATTAATACAGCTTTCATAAACAACTGAAAAGAACTACATTTTGGATAAAAGCCGTTTTCAAAGTGGACAATGAACTGTTAAAAAACCCTTGGCTACATCAACCCAGTACTGCAATAAAACGTAAATGAAATAGATTTCTATTATATGAGGAGAGTTACTGCCTGAAAGACATAGATCTCTAATATCTCAGAAAAAGTAACATGGAACAATTTTTCCATCAAAAAAGAAGAGTCAGTAGTACAGTTATTTAATAAAAATAAGAGGAATTTTGGAAGTAAAGTTATTACTTAGCCTCTCATTAAAATACAAGAATTCAGGAAACTGAATAGCGAAGCTACTAGACCTTCTGACTGTATGTGCTGGACGTGCTCGTATGATATATACGTGAAGATAAGGACTTCTGACTGAGTTTACCAACAGCAACTGTTTATTGTCAGTTACAAATTACCTATGATATTTTTTGTTTTTCAACTTATGCATCAATGAATTACAAGCCAGAATTAAATGAATAAAAACTTAAAAATATTTTTAAATATTGTGTCCTGTGTCAGGACAATTTTGTTCATTCACCTGACATACTAAATTAATGCTTTGAAAGTAACAAAATACCTGAAAGGACAGTATCTACTTATAGGAAAATTATCTTACATGTTGTTGCCAGAAAGGCATATTCTCCTCCCTATCTGAAGCACTTCAATCTATCAAGTCATAAAACCTTCTGAGTGTCTTACTGTCAGCGACGTAGGTGACGTAGTGAGAAAACAACATGTAGGGATTTAGAACTACATCAACAGCACAGTAGAGACAGAGAGCAAGTCTTTTATCAGCCAAAATGGATACATGTCAGCTGGAGTCAACTGCCTACTAAATACAACTTTTCATTTGCACCTTCCTAGGCAAAATGAGGATATTTTTAAAAACACTATGGATACAGAAGTTTCACTCCAGGCTTTAACTGTGACTACTGGGAAGAAAAAAAAAACAAAAAAAATTGCTGAGAAAACATGCAACTCATGTCAGAAGGGAAACAGCACAAACAATTCATTTATTTCAACAATGCAATTATTCATTTCTAAAAAAAGTATAATCATAACACTGAACAGTCAGTGTTTGTGGCTCTGTTCTCCTGTTTCAGGACACGAGACATTTATATCGCATTGATGTTGGAGACAGTGAATTAGGCACATTGAAAACAAGTGGTTTCACTGCTCTCACAGATTGTGGCTAAGTTCCTTCCCTTCTCATTGCTGAAAGTTTATCCTCTAATAAGCAATTCCCAAGACATCTTGCAATAGAAAGCATTCATGAATGAATGCATTAATAAATGTTTCCTATTGCAGGGCCCACCAGGAATTCTTTATAATACTTGTAAGGAGTTTACAGACCTTCATTAGTTACATAAAAAAAACCAAAATTTGTTTTTTCTGGACATACTATTCTGCCCCTTTTCAAAATATCACAGCATACAACTAAACGCTAGCATGAAACAGAGCCAATGACCGTGTATGTACTCACCATGTACCACATGCTTGGCCACTTGGGATCATTGAAATAAGTGGATTGGGTACCACCAGGTTTATAATCCCTCTTTATCCTTCTCTTAACCACCTGCTGTTGTATCCACTCCACCTGCCAACCAGGAAAACATATGGTAAGTGTTAGGGTTCCATGGAGATTATCAAGAAATGTGTGAAATCTTGGGAAGTTTCCCATTACCATAGTCCAAGACATATTTCATGTTAAGGAGTTCATTTTGGCAGTGGGAATGCACAGCTCACCTTGGCATACTGTTCACTAAGGAATATGTCCAATTTACTTAATGCTACAAATCTCCCTGAACAACTACTTAAATCCCCTACTAGAAGGACTTCATTGGCTATCATCTTTTGAATGCCATTATTTTATTATTTTTCGTTATCAGACTACTGCTTCTTTTGAATTTACAAAAACAGTTACTTCTACAAATCATAACAGTCTATTACAATGAGAAATTAGTTAATTTTCTGACAGGTGGGGGTTTTTTTGTTTTGGTTTCTTTTTTTAATTTTTATTTTGGTTTCTTTTTTATAATTTTTATTTAAGTCTGTTCCTGAAAACAAAAACATTCAGAAAAATATTAAAATGTTTTGCTTAACCAATATCTAAATCACCTTCAACACTTGCAGTGAAAAAACAAAATTAAACTGTATTTTTAGCAAAGTGACTCTTTGTCAAGATTCTCTCAGCCAGGCACCCTGGAACTTTATTTTATTATTTCTATGTATTATTCTCTTTCTCCCCAGGGAGAAACAGTCGGGTACTGAGCAACAGGTCAAATTATAACAGCAACAACAAAAAAAAAGAGCTTGAAACTTGAAAATAAATATAAGGGTTAAAAATCTAATTCTGAAAGTTATTCTTGTCTGTCTGACACCTCTTCAAAGATTCATGACACATCCAGAAAGGGCAACACCAAAAGTGACATCAACGTTAGAGGAGACAGGACTCTGCAGTCATTTCTACATTAGCTATTCTAAATGTGAGCTAGTTTCTATAAATGTAAATAATATAAACTATCCACAGAGAAATCAAAGTTATATTTACACACATCTAGCTTCCTGACAGCTTATATTTCTGCTGAATTGTTTCATGGGATGTAACTATAAAAATTCGATTCACCTCTCCCCAAGCAAGACAGCCATTTCCTACTTGCAGCCAACTCTGCACCTTTTATTTGTGCTGTTTATAAATATCTGTGTATGCACACAAACATACAAATACACAAAAGAAGTTTACTTTCAGCTCACGTATTTCTTTGTCACTTGTCAGAGATGGTATTGATGTTTACCCTTAGCAGGCTAATTTCTCTACTGTGCACTCACAGCTCAGCTTCAAATCCTTACACAAGCATAGGCCCATTGACATTAACAGAAATTTTGCTTTAGATCCATACCACGCCTACCTCTGCCACCTCTAGCATACCACTCTGGCCTCTGCTTCTTCATCAGATGAAAATACAGGAAGACATCCGTGAATTCGGCATGAGAGGATTCCTAGGACATTCCTTATAGAGATTGGCAAGGCTTCATGGTTTTCTTTATAAAGAAGAAATGATTTTTTCCCCTTCCCAAGAACTAACTTCAGGGTCAAGAGTATTCTTCTAGAGGAGAAATTATGCAGTTTAAGAATACAGACTATCAGGTGGTCTTCACACTGAAATCCATTTCTTTGTTAAATCTTCTAGTAACAATCAAAGATCCCCTTCTGCTTCTAAAAGAATTGAGAAATTGGATAGTGTGTCTTTCTCTCCTGGTTACTGTGCTCCTCCTTCAGCTCAGGCTGAAATCCATCTTGGTGGATGCCCTCTCGAG